ACAATTCCAATGATCTTTTTGTAGAAATAGAAAAGCTAGTCCTCAAGTTCTTATGGATTTGCCAGAGGCCCCAAATAGCCAAAACAATTTGGGCAGTGGCCAGGGGTGGGACAGAGTTGGAAGATTTCATTCTTTCCAATTTCTAAACTGACTATAAGGCTAAAGTAATAAAAACTGTGGTACTGGCATAAAGATAGACATATGGACCAATGGAGTAGATTTGAGAGGCCAGAAACAAACCCTAGACATTTGTGATCAATTATCAGTAAGAGTGCAAAGACCATTGAATGGGGAAAGAATCATCCAGAAAATGGTGCTGGACAACTAGAGATTCACATGCAAAAGAATAAAGCTGGACCTTTCCATTATATCCTATACAAAAATTAATTGAAAATGCACCAATTACCTAAATATAAGAGCAAAAACTCTTAGAAGAAAACATAGAGGTGAATCTATCAAAAGCATGAGCCACAAAAAAAAGAGAGAAATTAGACTTTACCAAAATTTCAGTTTTTTGTGCATCAAAGGACATCAAGAAAGTAAAAAAGGCAAACTACAAAGTGGGAGAAAATATTTGTAAATCATATATTTAATAAGGGCTTAATATCCAGAATACATAAAGAACTTTTACAACTTAAAAAAAAGTTCATCTTTAAAATAGGCATAGTATTTAAATAGCCATTTCTGCAAGGATACAAAAATGAAACAAGCACATGAAAGAATGCTCCACATCATTAGCCATTGGAGAAATGCAAATTAAAATCACAGTGAAATGGCACTTCACACCCATGAGGATGGGTATTTAAAAAATAAAAAGCACAGAAATAAACAAGTGTTAGTGAGGATATGAAAAAATCTGAATCCTCTTACATTGCTGGTAGGAATGTAAATACGGTATATAGCCACTGTGGAAAACAGTTTGGTGATTCCTCAAAAAGTTAAATATAGAATTATCATCTGACCCAGCAATCCACTTTTAGGAATATACCCAAAAGAAAACAATTAAAAACAGATGCTCAAGCAAATCCTTGAACACAAATGTTCGTAGTAGCATTATTCATGACAGCAAAACAGTGGAAAAGAACCCAAATGTTCATCGAGGGATGAATGGGTAAACAAATCCTGAGATATACATACCATAGAATATTATTCAGCCACAAAAAGAAATTAAGTACTGATGTATACTACTACAACATGAATTTGAGCCTCAGAAACATTATGCTAAGTGAAAGAAGCCAGATAAAAGTCATATACCTGGTTGAGTAACTCAGTTGGTTAGAGCATCATCCCAATACACTAAGGCTGCAGGTTCAGTCCCCAGTCAGGGCACACACAAGAATCAACCAATAAATGCATAAATAAGTGGAAAAATAAATGTTTCTCTCTCTTCTTCCTCTTGCCCTCTAAAGCAATTAAGTCATATATAGTATGATCCCATATATATGAAATATCCAGAGTAAGTAAATCCATAGAAACAGAAAGAAGTAATTTGGTGATTCCTGGGTCTGCAGAGAGGGAAGTCATAGGGAGTAACTGCTTCATGGTACAGGGTTTTATTAAATTTAGAGTGATTAGATGTTTTGGATTTAGATAGAGGTGATGGTTGCACAATATTGTGAATGCACTAAATGCCTCTAAATTGCTTACTTTAAAATGGTTCATTGTATGTTATATGAATTTCACCTGGTTTTAGAGCATATTCTCTTAAGAAATTGTGATGAACCTAAATTTTATAAATTATATTCAAAAGTACTACTTTTGTAATAATCATTTGCTACTTGACTTAAGAAATTTACTTAGTAAGTTATGTTTATTGAATTGTTGCTTAGAAAATTAGATTATTGATGCTTACAAAAAGAATAATGGGACATAGTTAAAGCAGAGATTAGAGAGAAATTTATGGCTATCAGTATCTGTATTAGAAAAGTGTACAGAATCTCAAATCAATAACCTACACTTCCACTACAAAGAAGCTAGAAAAAGAAGAGCAAAGTAAACCCAAAGAAAGCAGAAGGCAGGATATGATAACACTTATTAAATCACGGGTTCTCTTTAGAACCAAATTCTCAGGTACCCTGTCCCTTTTGTATCTTGGTGAGAAATCCTGCTGCCGATAAAATATTCATCTTCAGTTACTTTTCTTTAAAAATAAAAAAAAAACTGATTAGTTTGGAATTTAAGACTAGAAATTTCAGGAACTATTAATTAGACAAAGGGCGAGAAGATTTTCATGTAACTGAAGTCAGAAATGCCAAGTAAGATCCAGCAGTACATGTATGTTCTTTCTCCTCTTCACTCCAACAAAGAACAGTTACTAAATACCTTTTACATTTGTAATACTTAAAGGCAAAAAGTGCTTATTACTAGGATGATAAATAGTCTCCCTTTTAAAAGATTATCTTATTTTTTTAAGATTTTATTTATTTATTTTTAGAGAGGGAAGGGAGGGAAAGAGAGAGAGAGAGAAACATCAATGTGCGGTTGCTGGGGGTCATGGCCTGCAACCCAGGCATGTACCCTGACTGGGAATCGAACCTGCGACACTTTGGTTCAAAGATTATCTTATTTTAAAGGGTTATTGATACTCATGCCAAAGAGACATTATGATGAAAATATCATAAAACTAATGTATCACTAACCAGGATTAATATTTTGGAATAATACACCATCTACTTAGACTGTTGAGCCAACATATCATTCATAACTAAGCAATTTAGTGAAAGAAAGAAAGAACAGTCGTAAAATGTATTCTGCATCAGAGTATCCTCTGACAGCCCCCACCTCTCTAGTATGGGTTGTAAGGCCCTGCCAAGAAGGGACAACTCAGAGGGAGTTATCAGCAGTCAGCTCCCAAGAGCACTGAAGATGTCCCTTCCCTGTGATGACAGCACTACCTCTAATACTCTGCATGTCTGTCTCTGTTCAGAATTCCCCAAGAGTTCCTTGCTGATGCCACCCAGTGCAAGGGCCCGTGCAGGGGCAGCGTGCTCACACTAGTAGCTCACTCCCAGCTGGCCTGGAGCGATGGCTGCCTTGGGCAAAGATAAGCTTCCAGGTTCTGCGTCTGGGCCGCCACTTGACACAAAACCCGGCATTGTGTGCGGAGGAGCTCCCCGAGAAAGGAGCACTGGGTTAGCAGAATCCTTTCCAGAGACTTATCTTTGTCAGGGCTTCTTTTGTGTTATTTACTACTTGTTTCTAATGTCTTCCCTCTCCACAGCCCCCACTGCAATGCACACACACGCGCACATTGAAGCCTTACATGAGATGAGAAAATTGAGGCATAAATGGGCCAAGTATTGATGTCTAGCTTGTGACATTCTGGGAACAACACCCAGAATTGCTGAGTGCAAACTTGTTGCTTTTTCCACCACACCAGTTTCTGTCTCTTTGACCATTTCTCCATTATTAGTCCTCTCAGTATGGATGTTTAGATCTCTTATCTCCTAAACTGAAAGTTATTTTACCAAACCTAATTTGACTGGTGAAGGATATTTCTAAGGGATTGAGAGTATTTCTAAGGGATTGAAAAGGGTTACTGGACCCAGTTCCAACGTGGGGTGGAGGAATGCCCCCCACCAACAGCTCTTGGACCCTAGCCGGATGTCCAACAATTTAACTAAATTCTGACACTATCTGCCCAGAGATAGCCAAAGTCCACAGGTTAATGGTTCATCCTACAAGACTTTATCAAGACTGCACACACATGCGTACACTTCAGACACCAGCCTCAAGCCTGTTCTCTTACCTGTGCTTCTGACCAACCGGTAGAGGTTGGAGGCTCCAATGACCCCCTCCAGCTCATACTGCCAAGCGCAAGTCCAGATTGTTAACTATACTTCTGATGAACTGGCTGTCAGTCAGGCATTCCCACAACACCCTCCTTGGTTGCAATTAGTTTGCTAGAATGGCTCCCAGAACTCAAAGAAACATTTACTCATTAGTTCATTGGTTTATTACAAAAAGTTATAACTCAGGAACAGCCAATAGAAGAGATGCATAGGACAAGGCTTGTTTGAAGGCACTTGGAGCTTCCAGGCCCCCTCCAGGCACAGCACTCTCCCAGCACCTCCATGTGCTCACTGGCCTGGAAGCTCTCCAGAAAAGGACCAGTGAGCTGTCCTGGGTTTTTATGCCCCCATCCTTATATCGTTTCCAGAACTTGTCACTTTAACATAACAAGAGATGCCCTTTTCACTCCCAAGAAACTGTAAGGGTTTCTAGAGCTATCAGCCAGAAATTGTGGACAAGAATCATTATATAAGCCCTGGCTGGCATAGCTCAGTGGATTGAGCGCGGGCTGGGAACCAAAGTGTCCCAGGTTCGATTCCCAGCCAGGGTACATGCCTGAGTTACAGGCCATAACCCCCAGCAACCGCACATTGATGTTCCCCTCTCTCTCTATCTCCCTCCCTCCCCTCTCTAAAAATAAATAAATAAAATTTAAAAAAAAAAAAAGAATCATTATATATACACACACACATACGTAATTTATATCCTGCTTAATTTTTCCCACAAATCTTCATATTTCCCTTGACATTAATATTTATGGACAATTCCAGATATAAACAATTCATAAGTTTTAAATTGAGTGCTGTTCTGCATAGTGTGAGGAAATGTCTCACCATCCATACCTGGACATGAACCCCCCCTTTGTCCAGCATATCCACAGTGTACCTGTAGAACAACAAAATCTTTTGAGAGAAAGGGAAAGACCACATTCACATAACTTTTATTACAGTGTATTGTTATAATTCTATTTTATATTCGTTATTAATCTCTCACTGTGCCTTATTTATAAATTAAACTTTATCATAGTTATGTACATACAGGAAAAAGACATAGTATATATAGGGTTTGTTACTCTATGGGAATCTACTGAGGGTCTTAGAATGTATTCCCCAGGGATAAGAGGGGACTACTGTAATATACAAAGATGATGCTATCTTGGTTCTTAGTCTTTATAACCTAATTTTTTTGTATTCTTTTCTCCCCCACAGTTCATCCATGAGCTCAGATTTCCCGCATTACAACTTCAGGATGCCTAACATTGGATTCCAGAACCTGCCTCTCAACATATATATCGTGGTTTTTGGCACTGCTATATTTGTCTTCATCCTAAGTTTGCTCTTCTGTTGCTACTTGATTAGGTAATCAATTTTCATTCTGTGTTACTTTAGAGTATGTTAAACAATCAATAATAAATTAACTTTCTGTCCTTAGGTTAAAATTTTTCATAAGTATTGTAGGGGAGAGAGAAAGTGTCCTTAGCCCTTCTAGGTTCTTTCAGCTAGTCTAATAGTCAAACTGACATGGGACAGATTAACAAGAGAAAAATAACCAAATTTAATTACATATATACCGTATTTTCTGGACTATAAGATGCACTCCACCCCACCCCACCCCAAATTTGAGAGGAATAATGGTTGTTAATGCTGCTATTGAGTTCTGTTCATGCTTACATTGGTGAAATAATATGTTATTTATGTTATTAAATATTGTACCACATTTTTTGCTTCAAAATTTTTTCTCTATTTTTCTCTAAAACCTAGGTGTGTCTTATGGTGTGTAAATATGGTATATTCAGCCATTAAAAGGAGTGAATAACTGATAACCTGCTACAGTTAGGATAAGCCTTGAAAACATTGATTAAATAAAAAGCCAGGCACAAAAGGTCACATATTGTAGAATTTCTTTTATATATGTATTTTATATGCTATCCATAATAAGCAAATCCACAGAGATAGAGCAGATTATAAGTTACCAGGAGATGGAGAAGAGGGGACTTGGGAATGACTGCTTAGTGAGACTACATGTTTTTGGGGGGTGATGAAAGTTTTGAAACTAGAGAGAGCTGGTGGTTGCACAACATTATGACCACACTAAACACCACTGAATTATACAATTTAAAATGTTTGATTGTAAGTTCTGAGGATGAAAATAAAGGAATATTAAAATTTTTATTAAAGGATTAAAAACCTCAAAACAAGCCCTGGCTAGTGTGGCTCAGTGGACTGAGCACCACACTATGATCCAAAGAGTCACCAGTTCTATTCCCAGTCAGGGCACATGACTGGGTTATGGGCCAGGTCCCTGGTAAGGGAGCACTGGAGAGGCGACCACACATTGATGTTTCTCTCTCTCTCTTTTTCCCCTCCCTTCCCCTCTCTAAAATAAATAAAATCTTTAAAAAATAAAATAACAGAAATTTTTTAAAAAATAAAGTAAAAGCCTGAAATAGAAAATATTAATAAATATATAGTAAGAAATTGAATGTGTTATTAAAGCATTCCCACAAAGAGACTATAAGCCAAGTAACCTTACCAGTGAATTCTTTCAAACATTTAAGAAAAAGTACCATCCTTAAATGACTCTTCCAGAGAACAGAATACTTCTCAACTAATATAATGAAGCCAGCATAATTTTATTAAAATAATATCATACCTCACAAGGACATTACAAGAAAGGAAATTATAGACTTGGGTCTCTCATAAACAAAATATTGGTCAAATTCAGGTATGTACAAAAAAGGTAGTACATTAAAACCAAGTGGGCTTTATTCCAGGGATCGAGGTATCAATACAGTATACCACATTAACAGTAAAAAGGGGAGAGGGGAAGCATTTGGGACTTCTGGTCAAGATAGAGTGGTAGGTGGATATGCATCATCTCCTTGTACAACCCTAGAGTTACAAATAGATCTCAAAACAAGTAATATATGGGAAGATAAATCCCTGTAACTTCTGGTTGTAAAAACCAGCAGGGATTGGGAAGGCAGAAGAAACTGCTGGATTTTCAGGAGACTCAGCTGAAAGGACCTGCACAGACTTAGAACGTATGCAAACCCACCCACCCTGGGATTCACCACCAGGACAATAGCTGGAAGGGTGCCAGTCGCATACAGGAAGTGAGTGAAGTGACTGGAAATGGGACAAGTGCCAGGAAAACCTCCAGAAGCCAGGCAGCAGTATTGTCCCTCCCAGAGCCTTCTACCCATGCAGGCACAAAATGGTGAAGTTTTAGACAGAGGGGAAAGGAAAGAGAAAGAGAGGGAGAGAAACCAATGTGTGGTTGCCCCTCAGGGGCCCCTACTGGGGACCTGGCCCAAAACCCAGGCATGTGCCCTGACTGGGAATTGAACCGGTGACCCTTTGGTTCGCAAGCCAGTGTTCAATCCACTGAGCCACACAAACCAGGGCAACGTTGTTGGAGTTCTCAATCAATGCAGAACAAAAAGAGGAATAAAATAAATGAAATATAGTATACAAAATAAAATATATAAAGATTATAAAGGCAGAGTTTAACACCTATTTGTAGACAGAATGATTGCATATATTAAAAAATCCAAAAGAGTCTACAGATAAACTATTTAAAATTAATAAGTGAATTTAACAAGTCACTAGATACAAAATGAATGTACAATATCTTCTTTATATAGTACCAACAAAGAATTAGAAAATTTAAAAAATTATCATTCATAGTAGATCAAAAATTACCAAATTCCTAGGAATAAATCTAATGAAAGATGTGTTAAGTGTTCTACCTAGAAATGTATAGACAGAAATTAAGATCTAATAGAGGAATATACTATGTGCATAGGTTGGAGACTGACTCTTGCAAAGATGCCTGTTCTTCCCCAATTGATCTATAAGTTCCACACAATCTCAATCAAAATCCCAACAGATTTTTTTATAGAAATTGACATGGTCATGCAATTTACATAGTTAAGAACAAAGCTTGAGTACTTATACTACCAGACCCCAAGACTTGTTACAGAACTCTAGTACTTAAAACAGAGTGCTAGTCACCTAGCACCCAGATCTTGCTTTCTAGATAACTATTCTCCTGTAAAGTGAATCAAGGTTCTTTGGGAGAAGTGGTTAATTCCACAACTGGGGCATGGAAAATACAAGATGAGCCTGGAACATCTGTCAGTGTCAGTAAGCAAGGGAAAGAAAGAGGGCATGTTGACTGAAAGAAGCCAACACAAAAAAGTATATACCAAATGATCCATTTATGTGAAGCTCAAAAGTAAGCATCATTAATCTACATTTAGAATTAATCTACATTAATCTACAATGATATAAAATCAGGACAGTGGCTGCCTCTTAGGGGTGGATGTTGATTAGGAGGAGTCATTTAAGGGATACTGGAAATACATATCTTGATCTTGATGATAGTTACACTGGTGTGTGTGTGTGTGTGTGTGTGTGTGTGTGTTTATAAAATTCTTAAGATTTTTGTACATTATTAGATATTTTTAAATTAAGAAAAATATTAAATATTGAAACAGTGGACTGTCAATGATATAAAACTTGTTATATTTGAAATATTAATATTGCATTGTTAATTTGCTTCTAGGCTAAGACATCAAGCACACAAAGAATTTTATGCTTACAAACAGGTAAGAAATTTACCTCAGATTGGCTTTGATGGTGTTTTTTACCCCCCAAAAATAACAACTTATATTTCCACTCATTTTAAACTAGGACTTGTGTTCATTTTAGCATTTCATTTGCCAGTTGGCAGTATAAAATAAATCAATTTTAAGTACTCTTTCTTATTTGAATTTACAGAAAGTTCAGATGATATAGTAATATAATTTCTTCCTATAAAAGAAAGTTTATTTAGAAGTCACAGAGGGTCTTTAATTTTGCTGATGTGATGTTACAGAACTGTGGGGAGGGGCTCCACCTGCAGAGCACCCCTGTCCACCATGGGTGAGAATAAGTCTACCAAGACATGTCTGCTCTGCTTGGGGAGGAAAGGTGGCTGATCTCTCAGAGGAGAAGGTCCTTGAACCTGTTCCTCAATGGCCTTTTATTGGGTTTAATTCGAGTAGGAATATAGGGCATTTATATAATGCTCATCATTGTCAGGCAGTAATGATCAAGGAATAGAAAATATTCAAAGAACTCTGAGGTCTTATTCTGAGTCAGAGTCAGATAGATAGAGGGAAACAAACTCATTTTATGCTTGGACCCTTATCAGTTAAATTGAGGGAATTCTTAGCAAAACAGATTTCACAGGATTTTATGCATTCTTTCCTAGGCCTGTTCACCCCAGGAAATCACCCATTCCAGCACAGGGCCACACCTGCCTTCCGCATTGTTTCAGACTTAAGTCAGACAGGGGAAGTGAGGCAGCCAAGAGATTAGGTGACTTTTTACAGATGGAATGAGGACTCGGGCCCTTGTAAAGCTGAGGGGTGGGGGCCATCAGCCCTTTTCTATGGTCTCCTAATTCCTTCTCTGGTGGCCCCTTCACGACTGTGCCTGTCTTAGGCCGTCCCTCCCTGGAGGAATCTTACCCATCATTGGCTAACCAGTCATCCACCTGGGGCCAAGCAGTGTGAAGTAAAAGTGGGCAGAGGCAGTGCCCCTGCCGGGAGGATAAACTTTGTCTCTTTAGTGGCTTATGGTCCCAAGGTCTTTTTTACTTGTGGGGCTTATAACTTCTGAAACCAGGCAGGGCGGTCCCCAACACAGAACCATTTCACCATTTTAGGATTACATTTCTTTTTTTTGTCCATCTTTTGTCCATGTCTCTTTGAAATCTGAGCTCTTGGCCAGTTCCTTAGATGTTCATACTGATGTCCTAGGTAACACCCTTCGCCATAGGTCTCGTGTGAGATTCATACACAGAGTGGAATGTTTTAGTTTTCTAAATGAATGAATCTTTTTGTGTCAGTGCTGTCATGATTTTAACAACCCACAAGGTATTTGAAAAACTAACTAGAAAATAAAATTGGCCTTGGTGGTCATTTAAAAGGTAAAATTGACTGATGAAACTAATAAAGTCACAAGACATACAGTAAAAAATCGTCTTTAAAAAATACTGAATTTGAAATTTAATATACCCCTGCATAGCAAAATAGTAGATTTTGGTTGTGATTTTTGAAAATATGATGTACTGTCAAAATTATTTTAGGTTTAGGAATGTAAAATACTCAAAGTAGAAATTTTCTCCAAATTTCACTTGCCTGTTTTTTCACTTGAAATGATATACATAAGTTTATTCTCAGAAATTTTCTATTTAAATAGTAATTCACCCTCTTATCACCTGGTATTCTTTCTAACGGATAGTCCCTACAAAGTCAAGTCAGGGACAGCACCTGGAGGAGTATTAAGTCTATCTACATAATTCCAGAGAGAGCCACAGCTTTCTGAGGATAGTAACATATAATAATGGGCAAAACTTCTAAATTTAAGATTGATCTTACTTTTTAATCTTTTATAAATGATTAATAGTCCCTGGCTTGGTGGCTCCATTGGTTGGCGCGTCATTCTGTACACACACACACACACACACACACACAGTCCACAGGTCAGATCCCAGGCAGGGCACATACCTAGGTTGGTTCAGTCCCTGGTTGGGGAGTACACAGGAAACAACTGATCGGTATTTCTGTCACATCAGTGTTTTTCTCTCTCCCTCTCTCCCTTCCTCTCTCTCTCAGATCAGTGAACATGTCTTCAAGTGAGGATTTTTTTTTTTTAAAGATTTTATTTATTTATTTTTAGGGAGGGAAGGGAAGGAGAGGGAGAGAGAGAGACAGAGAGAGAAACATCAATGTGCGGTTGCTGGGAGTTATGGCCTGCAACCCAGGAACGTACCCTGGCTGGGAATCGAACCTGGGACACTTTGGTTCCCAGCCCACGCTCAATCCACTGAGCTATGCCAGCCAGGGCTCAAGTGAGGATTTTTTAAAAAAACAATAAATTACTAGTCAGTCAGTCACAACAGCCAGTGCCGTGTTGTACTGAACTGTAAGGAGTCTGCCTCATTTATCTCCTCCCATGTTAGCACTTCGTCCAGATGATGCTCATGTGTGAATGCCTTTTCCCAGAATTTAGTCTGTTGTCAAAGAGATTTTTAAATTGCTTTCCAGAAGAATTTTGTATCATTGCTCAAGTTCAGAGAACATCGATAAATTGTTCTGTCTCAAACTGTAAATGAGAGCCCTCTCCAATATTGAATATAAGGGGAAATGAGCTATATGCAAAAAGAAAAGTATTTGTAAATATAATGAAAAATTTTTTACAGATTTATTTTTTTTCCTGCTTTTACTTTTATTAGTATTTCTTTTATACTGAATTTACTCCTGGGCCATAAGCTTTTGTTTCTTCAGTTTCCTCTGGGATATCTTTTTCTTCTGTGCAACTTCCTCCTCTTCTGGTCTGGGAACAACCTGCTCTTTCTTCAGTGAGGATCAATCATCTCCGTGTGGCGGGGAGAGCTGTGTAGGGATTAATCCTCCCATGGGTTCTGAACGTTCTGCGCCGCATCTTGGGAGCTTTGTTCACCTGGATGTGCTCAATGACCAGAGATTCCACATCTAAACCCTTAAGTTCAGCATTACTCTCTGCGTTTTTAAGCACATGCAGCAAAAACTCAGCACTCTTTTTGGGCCACTGACCCTGTGTGCAGCGCCACTGTTTGCCTGGGCGCACCTACTGACTCCACCATCGATGGAATGGTGACACTGCTTCTTTTAAAGTGACATCTTACAGACACTTGGTGGCTTTTCGAATATGCATACCCTTGATGGCCTGGGCAGTTTCCTGAGTGTTCTTAAAGTGAACACAAAGATTTGAACCTCTTGATTTGCATGATTTTGTGGAGTTATCCAGGTCAAGTGAATAGCGAACCATCTTCAGAGGTCACTTCTGGTTGCATTCAGAAGAGTTAAATTACAGATTTAAATGGGCATAAGAACATGCTTTTTGTCTTCTTACAGGTTATATTAAAAGAGAAAGTAAAAGAATTGAATTTACATGAGGTAAGTTGCCTTACGAGTGTTTTAGTCTTGAGCTGTTTTATAGTAGAGTGGTATGCTGTGGTATGCTTAAACATCTTTATTTTCAAAAGTTGAACAATTAGATTTTGATCAGCTTAATAGAATATTTGAGGATGAGGTCACATAAAAATCAATTGTGTGAAGACTTTAGGAGAGCAACATAACTCATATTTTTCATAGGGATGGCGCCCACGTAAGATTGCGTAGAGGCAGGGACGCTGCCGGCTGTCAGTGCCGTATGAGGAGATAGGTAGATGTGAGTTTTTCTACGCAAGGTGAATTTGCAGTAATTGCACTCTAGAAAATGTTCCCAGTAGTCCCTTCTTACCATTGTCACAAAAAAAGACAGTGATTATTTCTTGGGAGTAGGAGTTTGGGGAGGTGAGACAGACGGGTGGAATAGGGAAGACCATACAAGGGGAGGTATATCCTCGGGATTACCTCATGTTGAGGTTGCAGGGTTGCAGGTTCATAGGTGTTCCCTGTGTGATGCTTTGTAACTTAAATACAAACTCGTGTGTGTATCCTGATATACCTTAAGACACACAGTCTGTAGAATTCTTTTTCATTTTATTTCTTGTGTTGTTTCTAACTACAGATGTTCAGAATTTTTAATTTTAGGGCCCTTTGTCTTCCTATCTTTCTGAGTTTTTGAGTTGGTGTTTAAAGCAAGGACTTAGAAAGCTGCATGTGTAATATCTATGTTTTATGTGGATTAACTGTGGTGAGCCATATTGCCAGTCTCTTTAAATATAGTTTGTGAAATTATATGAATAATGATAATAATGATTTATATTATTGTTGAACACTTTAATGTCATCTACTGCTCCTTTGCTCTTTCTGCATATTTTTTCATCGGAGTTGATAGGTCACAGCATTTTATACCTAACCTTGCATTAAACTCAAGCATTGATTACTGTTTTATTTTTGAATTTTCCCCAAAGTTAACTTTGGTACATGGCCAAAATTAACATGAAGTTATAGAGGGTGATCCCTTTTCTATTTGGGGTGTCTTTGACGACCATTAACTACAACATTAAATCCTGACATACTCGTACATTTGCAATATTGAATAACCAAATTTGCCAGGAACAGGCGTCTTCCTTATTGGTTTGACCCATCAGTTTAAAATCTTTACCCTGAATAAGTGCACTGTGTTGTGGGATTGTATGTCAGAGTTCGTATCCAGCTGTACCCACCAGCTTCAGTTTCACTGAGTCTGACAAAGCTGCTGATCCACCCTCCCCGTCATTTGAAACTTAACCTTTGCTACACCTTGTGTTTACAGGCCATAGTGTATTTTTCACAATTCATTTGGTTCTTTCCAGCTGCATTTCGTGGTAATGAAACTGTTTTTTGTCAAATTTTTATGTGTGTGTAGCCTAATTACACAGTGATACATAGCTTGGTCCTATATAACCACATGAAATTTCAATATGGATTCTGTTATTAATGAATATAATAGTGAAAAATGAGCAACAAGCTAAATGTCCATCGGTACTGTAACAAATAAAACATGATATGCTGGCAGATTACCCACCAAGAGAGGGAGAGAGGAAAGGAAGAAAACCTGATACACTGATTCATACAATGAGGTACTGTACAGCAGCAAAATTAAGGAACACAGTCTCTGGCACACATCTGGGTGTTCCACGCCGTGGGGCCTAGCCACCTGTCAGAGAGCAGTCCTGGCCCCGTCTGCACATTTTCTCAAGTTTAAATTCAGTGACCCTTGAACAACTTTTTATATGACACAAACAGACACTGACAGGAGGACAGTGCCAAAGTGAGGGGACCTGGGAATTATAAAAGCATGTTAGCAGAGAAAGGAGAGCCCCAGGGCCTGCCCCGGGGTCTGGGCAGTCCCCTTTAGGGGCTGTGCTGCTAAGCAGGCAGAGCCCCCTGTGGAAAGTCTGCCCCTGAGCACAGTACATTACATCCAGCCTATCTAGTGGGAATTAACCTAAGTTCAACTCTTCTAAGGCACTGAAGCAAGTAAAGGAAACTTCCTCTTCCTTTCTGTCTTCTCCCATGTGCCCTCCATCTTTGAAGACGTGACAGGAAAAACAGGACATTCTTCTTCAGAAGACCTTGCCCAGAGAAGCCTGTTTCTTTCACTGAACGAACTGTGGAAGATTGCAGATTCCTTCAGATGGTTGGGCCTCGGGGGGCCTGCACTTTACTTTGTGGCTTGAGAGGGTACTTAGCAGATACTGGGCCTAATCTGTGAATTTATCTTTAGCTCTGTGCCGTGTGCCTAGAAGACTTCAAGCCTCGAGATGAGTTGGGGATTTGTCCGTGTAAGCATGCCTTCCACAGAAAGTGAGTATTGGTTTGGAATCATTTAGGGGGACCTGAGTTGGAGGCACATCAACCTGCTTACTGTTACCTTGAGACCGTGCCAGACGAGCGATGGCTTCGTGATCGGTGTGTAGTGCAGAAAGCACCCTAAGGGTGGGGCAGGTGTGTTTCCATGACATTAGGAGGGACTGGGGTGGAACATGACCACCGTGGCAGGACTTTGGCAGACACCCGGGCAAGCCCATACCTCCTGAGAGCCCAGGCTGTAAACAGCTGTTTAACTGGAACTTTCCAGTGAGAGCTTCCACTCCAAAAACTTATTTTAATGAAAACCATAGTTATTTTAAATCAAGATAAATAAGTCTGAATGTGAATGGCACTGCAGGGCCGTCTCCTGCCCCCTCCCGCAGACATATTCATATTCTCCTTTCTCTTGTATTTTATGCATTTGCATTTCTATTAGAAAATTTTATTTCTTCTGCTTCATACCACCCTCAGTGGTACATGTCAATTATATGTCAACCATGGCACGCTGACTGGCTTCTTACTATGGCCTTTTGGAAGATTGGAGGCGAGGCTCTGGTTCCTCCAGAGGGCGAAGTGTATTCTCCATTGAGAGGTGGAGCTTCTCTGGACCTAACTGTTCTGGGCCATAGATGTGTCAGCATGCCAGGTGTGTGGTATGGGTGCCATGAGCACAGGACTGATGTCTTCTCTCTTGTGATGTCTCATCCTACAGGTGCCTTATTAAGTGGCTGGAGGTTCGGAAAGTGTGTCCACTATGCAACATGCCAGTTCTGCAGCTGGCCCAGTTGCACAGTAAGCAGGACCACGGACCCCCACAGGGACCCCTTCCCGGGGCAGAGAACATTGTGTAAGCTCACCACAAGGATCAAACGGTTGCGGGATCCCATGTCTGCATTGAAGCGGGAGGAACACAAGTGTTCTCTGTGTTGGCTGCTCTACCTGGGGCACCAGCTGCCACTTCCTTTGTCTCATGAAGAACTCTTGGGCCAACTAAGCTGAGAACCCAGACTTCTGGGTCTTGTGACAACCAAAGCACGCTGACACTACCCCACGTCAAGAGAAGTTGAATGAGCCTGCGGGTTTCAAGAAACTTCATGAGTCTCTTGCTGACTCAATTACATGCTGTCTCCCAGACACTTATCTCCATGTAAGGTGAATCTTTCTCAAGCAAGAGGGAAGATAAACACAAATATTAGAGAAGGGAACTGAGAGCAGGTCTTTAAAGCCACCAACCCCCACCCTGTGGACAGATGAGCTTCTATGCAGACTGTGCATGCCTTAGCCGCAGCAAACCTTCCTGGCAGCCCCTGAGCCAAGTAAAACCAGCGGTTACCTCAGCCGAAGCATGACCGGTTGCCTGGTTGGTGAGGCAGTGCCAACGAGGCTTTCCTCTTACGTTCCTTTGATAAGGCCATCTTGAAACCTGCCATTTCTTCTTCTTTTCCCACCCCCACTTCATCAGTGAGGCAGGGCCACACTGCCCATCAGGAGCCTCAGCAGGGGGTGGGTCTCTGAGCCCATGCTGTCTCTGTGTGACCCAGGGTTCTCAGAGTGCTGCCCACACACCCCCATGTGAGGTGTGGCTCCAGCACAGCTGCTGGTCTTGACCCACTGCCTTGGTAGGAGCCACTGGGAGCCCCTCAGACAGCTAAGAATGGCTAGTCCTCCTGGCCCTGTTGCAATAGGATGATTGTGACCCCCTTGCCTCTCCCCTTGTTCCTTCCCTTTGTTCTCTTCCCTCTCTTGCCCTATCTGTTTCTGCTTCAGAGAAAATGCCCGTTATCGACCTAACAATTTAAAGCATCCCAAATAAGATCCCCCTGTTCTTCCTTACACAGGGATCCACTTGAAATTGTAAATAGTATCAGGAAGCTCCTGCAGGGCTGTTTGCTCATTGGTGTGTGCCTCAGTATTCAGACTTGCGAAAGCTGAAAGTGTCTTTATAGGAGAGCAATGCATGCTATTCTTTGGTTCTTTCTGTCCAACTTTTCTAGAAATGACTCAGAGTCCGTTAGGACTCATGAATGTTGTGTAAATTAGCTAAGAACTTTCTAGTTCTTTTCCTCAGTCCTGTTCTCCACCTCCTCCTTTTGGAGGGATGGGCTCCTCCCCAGCAGCTCCCTCTGCTCCCTCAGTGGTGTGAGTGGGGCAGTTGCTCACTAGAAATACCATCTGCATGGCAGAGAGAGAGAATGGAGGAAGCTTTGCAATTCTGTTCGTAGCATGTCTCCAGCAATGTTTTCTGGAATCCAGCCTGTACTGTCCTAGAATGGGGAAGGGAACCTGGTGGCTGGGGTTAAAGGATGAGGAAAATTCCCATTAGCCTAGAAAAGTGCTGGGCAGAATCCAGTTTGGAAAATTACAAATCTAGTTGGCCCGAATTGGCTGTTCCCTGTGTGTGACCTGTCGTATGGTATTCCTATGGCATGCCAACTGGACTGTTTCTTAAACAAAGCAAGGAAAGTGTAAAATATTTTTATATGAAAGCCTTAGCCTGTTTGGCACCCATGAAAAGAACTTTATTTGTACACTCAGATTTTCACCCTGTTTCTGCATTCTGTTTGTAGCACAATAGAGCTGAATGCTGCAAAGCATCCAGTTTACAGTGGAATGTTTTCAGTGACCAGTGTCAGAAGGCTTGCTTCTGGACTAGCCTCATTAGTGACCAATACCCACCATTTTCCATGAAATGGCCATGGGACAAATGTCATCTTGTCTTTACGAGGTTTGAAAAGGAAAGAGAACTTTTCCCCTCAGAGGAGGAATGCTTGTGCTCTGCGCTGCAGTGTTTCGACTCCATTTTTGTAGGATTATAGCCTTTCACTTGCAGCCTTTTCCACAGCAGTGTCAGTACCAAGGAGACAGTGCCTCACCAAGTCCCTGTGTTTGTAGGGTGGCAAGCGAGTTCATTTTATTGTGTCACAGCTAAAAGCAAACTGATGTGGTTGGTGCACACTGGACCAGAGGAGGAAAGCCAGATAGTTTGAAGAAGAGCTCAAGAGTGCTGTGCACTCTCCATTTGGCACCGTTTTGCACCGTGAGGTGCCACCACCATGACCTCAACACTTGTGAATATGGAGGGCTTTTAAAATGCAGCTCTTCCACTAGGATGGGGCTGGACATTGGAGTGCCAACTGCCCACTCTGCTCATAGTTAACCCCTTTCTTGGCTTGGTGTCCTACCACAGCATGGCCGTTCACTTGACAATAGCTCTTGCAACTCTTAGAACACAATCTGAATGCATTTGCCACCCACGTTGGGGTCTTCCTCCAGCACTTACCTGTGCTGCACTGCTACAACTGCATGTGGGGTTATTTACATCCTCCTTACATTCTGATGAAAACCAGTTTTGTGTGACAGACAAGGTTAAATTTCTATGTGGAATCTTTAAGGAGTCAAGGATTTCTTGATACCCTTGGCTCAGGCTCACACCTCAGTGAAACCACTCTGTCCAAATCTGTCCAAGTTGTGGGTGGCCCATTGTTAATCTTTAGACACATGGAGGCTCTGGTCTGCTTTTGGGCCACTGGCTATTGACATGGTGACTTTTTTACTTAGTCTAAACGCACCTTAAGCAGCTCCAAAACTGGATGTTATTTGTGTGCCATGGGTTAGCAGAACAGAGCTCAGCCCCAACTGGTTTCCACTGGTGGCCCAATCGTTATCTAATGTTGCCAGGGGCACAACTGAATGCAGCGGGCTTTAGAAACAGAACAAAACCAGCCCGACTAGATTCCTGGTTTTTGTCTGCCATTTTACTTTGCCACCAGGTGATCTGATTACGCCTGCTCCAGAAGCCGGACAAGACAGAAATGGCCAATGGACAACGGTGGCCCATGGGGAGGTCTGGGCTGAGGGATGCAGGGGACCTCCCACCACGGCCTGATGCCTGTTCTTCACTGGTCTTGACAAGTGAAAAGCTTTCTCCCCAGTGCCAAGCTCTTTGGAGCCTTGATCTCAGGCACTTTGCACAGCCCCACTCCAGTGTGTCATCTCCATGGCCTGAACCTACTCTGCTCAGCTAATGACTATAGTAATTACTTTTTTGAGGGGCTTTCTGGGAATTATGAAGTGCAGAGAGGTATCCCCAGAGCACTGGACAGAAAAAAATGAGTGATTTGAATCATCTATCACTTACCCAAGGTGCCTCCCTACCAGTTAGCTCTCAGCCTGTTTCCTTATCCATCACCCAGGGATTATAATGGTATTTTTACTGGCTCTGCAAGGATTAGCTGTGTCCAGAGCCTGGAAGATGACAAGTCTGCAGGTCATTTGGGGAGGGGGCAGGGAGTCCCAGGTCTGCTGGCTCCCCCCTTCTTCCCCTTCCTGATGTTCCCTAGTCACCTCCACCTGGATCACCCAGTGCTTGGATTTGTTGCTTACTGCCGAATTACTTTTTAAACTTGAGTAAGCAATCCCTTTACATGGTTCATAAATCAGTTTGTCTTCCTTGAATCCCTGACCTCCAGCAAACCGAGCTTCTTACCCCTGGAGAATCATTTTGTTCCTCACATATCATTCCTGAGTTGCTCATTTATGTATATACGAGCAACACTTGTGTATGCGTGTGTAATTTTTCTTTCTCCCTCATGTGATAACCAGAGTATATTCAAGGAGCATTCCTATTCATGTGGGAAGAGCTGTACCGTAAGTCCAAATGTCTGTAAATGATGAGCCCAGAAGTGGTGGGTGATTTTGTAATCACATTCCTTTTGAATAAGCATTTTTGATTGCAGCACACTGGAATGGTTTTCTATACAAAAATCAGTAACTGTAATCCCTCCCTGGCCTTTACCACAAATGTCTGGACAATATGGGAGCACAACCAGTCTCCAGATTTCTGATCTGTGTCAGGCCTCTCATCGGGGTCCAACAGCTTTGCAGCCACCTGGACAGGCCACCCCCACTCCATCTTGGCCAATTCCAAGTGATGCCTGAGTCCAGCAGTGATGTCTGTTAACTCTTGCTTTCTTAGGTGGGCACCCACGTTTTTGAGGCAGCAGTTTGAGCAGCAGCAACTGAAGGCCGCAGCACCTCTTTTGTGGGGCAGATGTCTCAGGTGTTGCGAAGTAGCTGGTCCATCTCAGAATCAATCAGATGTTCAGGTACATGGCTGGGCTTCCTTTCTTTCCCCACTCTATGAACATCCCCCTCAAAAAAAAAAAAAAGCTTCCCGCATTTTTCCTCTTACCAGTAATCATTTCTGTAAAAAGTATCTTGTTCATTTTTGCTCCTGAAGATGAAAATTAAAACTGCTTCCTCTAGGCAGCAGTGGCAGGGAGGACCGTGGACCATGCCTCAGTCCTCACCCATCTCCCACGTGTACTGCCTGCCACCCAGAGCTTCCCCAGCATTCAAAGTGCATTTGGGCCCCTAACCTAAAACTTGAGGTGCAATTGCAAGTGAACCCTTCTGCTCTGGCCCTAGGTTAGTTAGTGTCTTTCACACTAGCTATTATGAATTTGAGTAAGAGACATGTCTAAGTTCACGATGTATAAATTCAGGTGAAATTTGCAGTTGGTAACTAGAAAATGCTGTGTCATGGTTAAGATTATTGCACTTCCATTTGAGATTATCAGGAGAAAAATAGAGGCCTGTTCAATAAACTTCACTTTTCCAGTTCAGTTTTAGAGACCAAATTATTCCAAGATGCCAAGTTTTACTCTACTTTTAGACCAAGCATCAGCTCTCTGCTTACCAGTCCAGTGCTCACTTCCATGGCTGTAGTTGAGGAAAACACCCGGCCTGAGCTGGGTATGTGTACCTAGACAGTGAGCCACCCACTGTCAAAGGACTTATCTGTACTCTGATGAAACTCCTCTGCCAGTACAAGCCTGTGCTTTGGACCAGCTGCACACCATCCCTGTCTACACCTTCCCTCCCAGGTTTCTCTAGGGCCAGGTAGGCAGATGGGGCTCCCTCCTGGTGACACCAGTCTTCCAAGACAGTGTTCCTGAGAACTGTCATCTCTGGGTCTCCTAACAGATCATTGCCATGAAGGATCATTTAGTCTTGTAGTTTAGCCCACTGGGGCTCATTCACTAGATATATAACTCCCTCAAAAAAGGTTTATGAAATGCTGAGCTTCAGGTTTCATAAACGTGTTTGTACACTAAGAGTTCTGCAGCAGAATATTTTTAAACATTCGCAGTTTTTGTAAGGTATATTTTTGTATATTTAATTGCTATTTTAAAGTTTTAATGCATTTTTTGCTAATTACTCGTTTAAAAAATGAAACATGCATGTAATTGACTTAAACAAATGTAAATAAACAGATTTTGAAAAATACTTCATGTTAATCATGTTAGTCAAGTACCCATGTGTGGTCATCCACACCCCTTTTCAGCCTACTGTAGCAAGAGTTGGAAAGTCAAGGTGAGTACTGATCAAATTGAGCTGGTCGCCAGCAAAGGTAATGGTGATGAAGGGGCTTCTGGCCTGTCCCCTCCGTGGTGTGGGGTGGTCAGGGGTGGTAAGTAAAGCACTAAGCCATAGGGAGTGAGAAAGCAGAGAAGCCAAGGCCTCACCTGCCACCCTAGCCTCAGCTTTGCAAATATGGCCACACACAAAACAACTAATTTCCCAAATACAGATACTAGTACTCAGGAGGCCTTAAGAGACAGAACTAGCCCATACCTCGTATCTCTATATCCCAGACCTGCGAGTAACTTGTTAGGGGAAAAAAAAAATCTGTTGGTTCAAGGTCATACTGTGGGCAGCTGCTGTTTCTCCTCACCACCCCTCACTAGGACCCAAAGCTTTGGGGAAATTGTTCCGGTTGAGGCCATGTCTGGGCCACCTTTAATCCTCACTTCAGTTGTCAGGAGAGCTCCTCTCCCCTCAGTGTTCTGAGCAACAGAACCCCTCCAGCCCCCTCTCTGACCTCTTCAGTCTCTTGCAGACCTCCCTTCTCTGAGTTGTTATTCTCACTCTCCCCTGGCATTCACTCAATTCCCCCTACAGCTTGCCCACCTACATGCACATCATTCTCAGCTGTTTTCTACAACTCCAATATCCAGCTATTTGGTATTAATCACAGCTCAAAACCAAGCATCCCCAACAAGCCTCAGTGCCCTTTAGAAAGCCTCCCTCCCCCATACCGATGATCACAGCCCAACAGTCAACCCTCTAACCATTCCTCTCCCCAGCAGACCACCTACTGCTCCCATCTTGGTTCCTTTATCACCTGGACCATGACCACAACACACCGCCTCTGGTGGGGGAGTGTGGGGTGGGACCCTCAAGCAGGCTGGAAAGGACAATTGCTGGGATAAGAGAGCAGTGGTTTAGACTACAGTGGTGGCAATGGTGAGAGTTGAGTTTACATACCTCTTAAGCTGGGTGGGGGGAGGAGTTTCAGAAGAAAGGATGTAGACATTTCTGTGTAGGGATGGCCTTGGAGATAAAAGTAGAGAGAAGGGAAGGCAGTCACTGCCTTAGGACTGGAGCTCAAAGGCAAGTGCTGGCCTGGGCATGCTACCTTGGAAGTTAAGCGTTAAGGTGTGTGCTCATGACTGCTTAGAGAAATGAGGACTGCACCTGGAGCTATTTCAAATTGTCTTCAATTTGAAAATAAGCTGGCAGAGACAGAGGGGCCTGGAAGGAAGAAGGAAAGCCAAGAGAGGTCTACTGCATTAGAACTGAGGAAGATGAGGACATAAAGTGTACACTAAGACTCACTGGTGGACTTATCAGGAACCAATCCATGGAGAGGTAGTGTGAGCTAAGAACCCCCGAAGAGAGGTCAGAGGCAACTTCTCAACAGTGAATGCCAAGTGGGTCCTAGGAGGTGGAAGGCTAATGCAAGGGAGGAGGGGGAACTTGGCCTGTATGACCTCGTGCTAGTTTGCTTTTCTGTTGAATTGTGGAAATGACAAAAACTACATGAGACAACACATGTAAAAAACACTGGCAGAGCCTATAAAGGACAGGCAGGACCCACAACAGAGGCCTGAGAAGAAGGCTGGCTCCTGCTCCCTCCCACTTCTCTGCCTTGATGGGGGGGGGGGGGGGAGTAGGCGTACAGAGGACAGGACTGGTACTTGGTCCCAGCAGGCAGCAAGCACAGGAATGCCTGGGACATGAGGGGCTCAAGAAGTACAACTGTGATACCAGTGAGTGAATGCTGGCACTGTCTTTGCTGGCTGTGGGGACCAAGCGAGGTGCCTGGAAGTGACACAGGACAGAGAACAGGAAGTGCTATAAGGGACAGCAGCAGAGATGGCTAGCATCATTCAAGGGCCACAGTCCCCCCCCCCGCAATGGCCCTCCAGCTCTGGGGCTTGCACCAGGGCAGCAGCACCCACAACCCACAGGTGCCAGGGACTGTGCACACAAGTGGGCGCAACAGGGAGAAAATGGCCATGCCCTAACCAGCCATGGGCACGGGCCTCTGCTGCCCCCACATGGCCAACATGGGAGGAACCTGGATCCCAGGTGCCCAAGAGGTGCCTGAGCTCCTCCTCCCCCAACCACCCAGCCCTGCCCCCTGCTCTCTTCTATCCCTTAGAACTTTCCCACCCGATCCCTCCTTTGCCAGTCTCCTTGCTTGACACCATCACAGAACCTTGTAGTTTCCTTCTAGTTCAAGAGCTGCTTTGGCCCTGGCGGTGTGGTTCAGTTGGCTGGAGCACTGTCCAGTAAACCGAAGATCACAGGTTTGGTTCCCAGTCAGGACACATGCCTAGGTTGCAGGTTCAGACCAGTCCCTGGTCTAGGCAGGTGCAGGAGCCACCCAACCAATGTTTCTCCCAGATGTTTTATCTCTCCCTCCCTTTCCCCCTCTCTAAAATCAGTAAGCATGTCCTTGGGTGGGGATTTTTTTAAAAGCTACTTTATATAGACCCTTAATTGCCTTCAATGTCAATACAGGCACAAATAATATACAAAAACAAGACACAAAATGTTCCATCTCCAAGGAGGTTTTTAAAAATTATTCTGCACAGCAGAAAGAAAAAGTCCAGAGTGTATCAATACTCAATCTCAAAACCTGTCTCCCAAGCAGGAGCCTTTTGAGCAAGACTGCCAGGTAAGTCAGGACTGCACCTGGGGGCTGGCAAGTGCCAAGACCAGGAGTGGGAGAGAGAGGTGGCAAGAACCCCACCCTGCTCCCAGAGTTAATGGGCACCTCAACTCCTTGATTTCTATTAGCCTGAAAGTGAAACCAGATTCTCTCCCCAGTTTCGGGGGAAAGCAGCCCTTTTTGTCTTGTTTTAGTCGTCTAGATTATTCTTTTTGTCCCAGTTTACTCCCATCATGTCAATGATCAGCCAAATACCCAAGGTGACTCTGCCCACTGAAGTCCTGTCTTTCCAAACACACCTGCCTATAGGATTTATGGTATAAAGTGACCTGGAATTGTCTTTCTAAAAGTTGCTTAATTGTCAAAATTGCAGATACAGAATTAACCTACCCAATTCATCTTGCAGAATCTTGAAATAAAACATGTTTTTCAGTATGTTCACACAAAGGCTAAATGCACAACAGAGTTCATGAACAGGTGATGACCTCCAAGGCCATACTGACAAAATTGTGATTAGATTATAATACATGTAACTTGCCTTACATTTAGCATGTTCAATGGCATACAAAACCACAGTCAGGTGAACACAGAATAGCTCTCCCCTGCAGCGCTTCAGCGAGTGACACTAAATTTCAGAAATATACAGCAGGTATTATAGCAAATCCTCACTGTCACAGGCATGGTCCACATTACATATATGTAGTCTTTCCTTACTGGTTACTAGTTTAGACTGAATTATCTTGATGACTTAGAAAAATCCCCTTGTCCTTGCTTGCTTTGATTCAGGTAATAAACAATCACAAAATTAAGTAAGGCTCCTAAAAAACAGTTCACAGATCCCACTGCAGAAGGTTCCAGGAACTCCCCCTCCCCAGGTAACAATCAGGGGATCTTCAACAGCTCAAGGAGTGCTCCAACGGCTCCAAAATAACCCTGAAAAAAAAAAATAATATGAGCAATTTTCTTTAAAATTATTTAAATTACCATAAATGATTACTAGTGTTAAAGCCAACACTGACATTAATTCCTGACACCCATTTCCTAAGTACATTTCTGATCAGCTGTTGGGAAACTGAGGTTGGGAATCTGAAAATACTGTTCTTTATCTGTGGTCCATTGAATCCATGGGTATAAAGCATCAACTGTATTTCTGAAAAAATTTAGCCCTAGCTGGTGTGGCTCAGTGGACTGAGCATCGGCCTACAAACTGAAAAGTTGCTGGGTTTGATTCCCAGTCAGGATACATGCATGAGTTGTGGGCAAGGTCCCCAGATGAGGGCATGCAGGAGGTAACCAGCTGATGTTTCTCTCTCACATATCACATTGATATTTCTCTCCCTCCCTCCCCTCTAAAAATAAATAAAATTAATAATTTCAAGTATACATGGACCTGCACAATTCAAAGTCTCATTAATGTTCAAGGATCAATTGAATTTCAAGACTCAGAGAGCCTAAAATAATCAAAGTTCCATATTTGCAAGAATTAACCCTAGAATCAGAAGCCTAAATACAAACAGACAACAGACAAGTAGACCAGCAACGCCAACCAGAGTAGAAAATCAAGTTGGCAGGCCAAAATATAAAAACAAAATTTTATGAAGGGTTCATATTTTAACTGTGATGACATGAAAATATAAGTAAAAAAAATTAACCTAAGAAATCAATCTCCATGTTCTACCTAGGAAAAAAGTTCAAGAAGAGGTAGAAATTCAGCAGGAGGAAAATTACACTAAAATTTAACATTAAACATGATTTATTTTTATTCTAACATTGAACAGGTAAAAGATCACGACAAACAAGATGTATATAAAAAGTATTAAGAAACAATGGTAACTTGGTACTGATTTACTAATGTAACATTAGAAGTAATAAACAAGTTATATGTCTTGAACTTTAAGCATCTTTATATGGGAAATTTGTATACTTTGGGTTTTAACCACTAACTTAAGCAACTTAAAAACTTACAGCTATTTTAAAGGAAAAAAGCAATCTCTATAGCACTTCAAATCCTACTTCAATTTCTGTCAATTCATAGAAACACCATTATAAGTAAATATACACAGACAGCCCTGGCCAGTGTGGCTCAGTTGGTTGGAGCACCATCCATCCCATAAACCTGAAGGCCCAGGTTCCATTCCCAGTCAGGGCACATTTCCCAGGCTGTGGGTGCAGTCCCCAGTCAGGACATATATGACAGGCAACCAACTAATGTTTTTATCTCACATTAATGTTTCTCTCCTCTTTCTTCTTCCCTCTAAAATCTGTAAGTATGTCGTCAGGTGAGTATAAAAAATATACACACACACACACACACCATTTTGAAAAACGTTTATAACACTATTTAGAACTGCCACACAACCAAGGGGAGGAAAGAGAGAGCACTTTCCAAAATAGGATATCAGGTTGAGTAACTCAATGATTCTTTTCCATCTTGTCATTTCTAGCCTGTCTATGTGTTAAGTTTTTATGATACTGTGTTTCTAGTCCTGGAATGCTTTTTACTGATCTATGTGTTTTCAAAACAATGTATTAAATAACATATGAACTAGGCCAATGCATAAAAAACTGACATAAAAAATGAAATAAGCAGAACCCAGAGTAAGTGCATTTATAAAGTACAATGGGAAAAATATAATGGATGGTTCAAAAAAGAATAAGGCATCAAAAATATGGTTGAATGTTCATCAAGACCTCTTTCTAGAAAATTGCTGAAGCTCACAATAAAATTAACCAAAAATCTTTCTTGCATTAAATCGAGTTTAAGAAATAGCTTTTGAACATTAATGTAATTAGAGCTAAACCCCGTATCATACAATTACAAAACTATGTAAGTGCTGCAGCTCCTTTCACCTCTACTTCAAATTCCAACAGTGTGAACTGCGTACCCTTTATGTAAGTGACATATTGCAGGAAGAAGTCTGCTTACCTCGTGTTCCGAAAAAAGTGCTTTCAACTGTCCCTTGGACCAATAATCCAAAGCATATGCCAAAAGCCGCATGGCGATCGTATTAACTCTCAAGAAATTTCCAACAAATACCACCTGGTTAATATTCTGAGCACATCAAAAGAAGGCAATTAGTTTTCATCTTAATTTCTGTCCTCTTGTAAAAGCTACCCCAAACAGAGACCACATGCCTAGTTTCTAGCAGCAAATTGACTGCTGATCACAAATAAGTACTTATATTTAATCCAATTGATCAAGGGCTGCTTAATTCAATCCCAGAGCAACTCTGGCCCCACTTCAAAGCATGCCAGAAAATACCACAGGAGAAAACAGATTTTCTAGGAAAAACATGTATATTAAGTATGACAAATAGCCCTGGCTGGTGAGACTTGGTGGTTGAGTGCTGGCCCGCGATACCAAAGGGATGCTGGTTTGATTCCCAGTCAAGGGCACATGCCTGGGTTGCAGGCCAGGCCCCCAGCAGGAGGAGCGCAAGAGGCAACCACACACTGATGTTTCTCTCCCACTCTCCCCTCTAACCCTCTCTAAAAAGTAAATAAATAAATCTTTAAAAAATATGACAAATAACCACTATTAAAAAGTTCTATACGAAGTAAAAAGACCCAACTCAAAGAAGGAAAGTAACACAAATAGGCAAATTATATAAGAAGTATCACAGAAAAGAAATTTAACCTCACTAGTGATCCAAAAAAGGTAAAAATTTAGACCCATTAAGTGTTAACGAAACACATAACTGAAATTCCACTATTAGTCAAATTGTGGTAAAACTGACCCATTTGTATATTGCTCAAGATGCTCTAAACTACTGCATCCCTTCTGCAAAGAAAACACCTTGGCAATACCCATCAAGATTAGTAACACGGTCATGTTCTTTACATGAGAAAACTCACTTCTGACTAAGTCCCTTATCAAGAATAAAATCCAACCAAGGAACAGCTTTGGGCTTAAAAATGCTTTACTACAGAGCTATCATTGGCAAGCAACCAAATGCCCAGCTTGACGTGAATGATGTATGACATTAAAATAAATCAAATATGTAGTCATGAAATTTATAGTTACATAAAAAATATAAAATAGAATGTATACCAACTAAAATCTTAAATACATAAACACAGGAAAGGGAACATGCAATAAAGAAAACATAGTTAAAATATTCAAATGAAGAGCTTTTTTTAATTACTTGATGCCGATACCATATCTTTTTAATTAAAAATGACACAATCCTTCTGCACCTCTTAAGGTTTTTTTTTTAAAGTCACATCTCTTATCTGTTTAAAAGAATAATTTTAAACAAAAAATGTATAAATAGGGACAAGCTATAAAGCTGCACCAACTGGACCCCCAAGGGAAGGCCATTCTTGGTTCTTTCATAGCCCTGTACAATGCTGCTTGACCTGAATGCTACAAGGCAGCACTGTAAAGAAGCTGAAAGCACAAAGACAGCTCTGCTGCGGTGGAGGGGGGCAGGGCGGGCACTGCGTGGCCCACTCAGTCTTCTCCCAGCTTCCATGACTTCCTCTGGATTCCTTCCCTGGGATTCTAGAGTTCCACAATGAGCATGGAGTCTAGGTTCAACATTGCTATCCATTATCACCACCCAACAGCCCCCATCATCTGGCACACTGGCTACCTTCCTGCCTTCCTCTACTTTTCCTCTACTTCTAGATAGTAACAGTGTTTATTTTCAGTAAGAAAAAAAATATCAGTTAACATTAATCTAGGAGTGAAGAGTTTTAACTTCGCCAACAAAACAAACTCCACCACATATGACCACAATGAGGCCCAGTTCAGAGAAGACAGATGTTCTATACAAGATGGGGCCCACTTAGGATGTTCTGTATTTTCCTCAGGGCAACTAAAGAAATTCAGGTCCCCTTACTTCATTAAGGGCACACATTCTTGCTATCGAGCCAATGTTGTTGGTGATGGTGATCAAAGTTGCTCTAGCGAGGTCCTCTTTACTGGCAGCCTCTCGCTTCTCCTTGCTCATCATGTTTCCAAAGCTGTGATGGGGTGAGAAAATAAAAAATATATATATATATATATCTTTGATAAACCAAAGGCAACATAGCCCAACAGAACTTGAATGTGGCTTTTACAGTAATGTTCAAATCCTCAAACTTTTCATTACAAAATAACGGAACATCTGCTCAAAGAGAAATGCAGTTCAAAGAGAACCCTCAAGTATTCTGAATG